TCTGAATTTTTTTAAATAGAAAAAACTACCCTTAATCTGAAGAATCAAACTTAGGAGGTAATACAATATAATTATATTGTATTACCTCCTAAGTTTGATTCTTTGGTGGTTTTTTCGATTTAAAAAAATTTTAGAGGGGAAGGGAGCATTTCTGGCTTTGTTTCCGCATTGCTGGAGTAAAAATACCTGGTTATAAACTTTTTTAATCAGTTATTTTATTGTTTTACCTCCTAAGTTTGATTCTTCAGATTAAGGGTAGTTTTTTTTATTAAAAAAATTCAGAGTGTGATGGATCAATGCTGGCTTTTTTTTGAGTTAGTAGAGTAAAACTACATACATGTAAGGTTCTGATTTTAAAGAAACCGGTAATTTAATATTTTTTACTTATTAAATTTGAATTTTTCTATTTAAGGGTTGTTTTTTCGATTTAAAAAAAATTTAGAGTGTGAGGGAATATTTCTGGCTTCGTTTCTGCATTACTGGAGTAAAAATATCTGGTTATAAAATTTGTCAATCAGTTATTTTGTTGTTTTATCTCCTGAATTTGATTCTTCAGATTAGGGGTAGTTTTTTCGATTTAAAAAAATTCAGAGGGTGATGGATCAATGCTGGCTTTATTTTTTTGAGTTAGTAGAGCAAAACTACATACATGTAAGGTTCTGTTTTTAAAAAAAGCCGGTAATATAATATGTAATATTATCTTTCAATAATACGTATGAATCTTTGCTGTAATTGCAGTCAATAACGAAAGAGTCCGTTTTTATTATCTTGTATTGATGCTTTACAATTGTACAGTCGTTTGATAATGGCCCACGATTATGTGACATCTTGACGATTCTTTTTGGAAGATTTGGTGAATTAGCGTTTATTTCAGCCGTTTCCTTTTCAGCATATCTTCTAGCTATTTGCTCTAATGGCTTATCTCCTTTTCTTATCATATTTTTTATAGACATCATATAATTCTCGAATCGAAATGCACTATATCTGTCGAAACTTCCATATTTTTTTACGTCTGGAGCCACATGAAGCAAATTGTGAACATTATATGGGATATGTGTTGCTTTCCATATATTTTTGCGAAACCTTGGACAAAAAGCTGAAGCATTTCATGGGCAGAGTCAATATTACGCTTTACCTTAAGATGAGTGTCACTTCTTAAAATAGTTGCTGCTGAATGTAATAATTTAAAATTATCATACATGTCTTTCCTCAATACGTTTTTCAGGACTACAGGTCCGGTATACAGCAAGAAAGTTCGAAATTCCGTTGCTTTCCAGTATTTGTACTCTAACAATGTTCTCGGTTTCCTAGTAAATTCTTTGGGCAAACTTTTACGAAGAGCCAGCAGTCTTTTACTAATTCTAATCATTCGAAATGCACGTAATCGACCTTTTGAAGGACCTTTCAACCACAGACTAATAAGCTTCTTAACAACTCTTAATAGAAGAAGGTGCATATAGTCCAAAGGTACATATGATATACCACCGAATTTAGGAATTTTATTTAAAATAGATTTTTCATCAAAATCATTGTAAACGTTGCGAGCGAATTTTTCGTCAGTTTTCAAAAAAAATGGCCCTATACCCGGAAAACACACTCTTCCGGATCGTTTCTCGTTTTTTCGTTTATTTTTATTTAGAACATACTCTCCTTTAATTTCACATTTAGGGCAGCTATAATATCCAGTGTGACCTTTCAAAAATATTACAAAAGATTTCGCGGGAGCATCACAAATTAATCCTTCGAAACTAAATTTAACATTGCTTTCCGGTAAACCATTTTTGCTGAGTTCCATTGCTTCTTCCACGAAAAATTTCAGAAATTCATTTGCGTTTGCAGGTTTGCTAGGACCATAAAAAGCACCAATAGGATAGACTTTTTTTCCATTTATGTCGGAACATAATATGAGCCAAAATCCTTTGCTTGTCGATTTGAATATTGGTAGTCCGTCAATATTCACAAGTAATTTTATGTGGTCTATTTTTTCAGATCTACGTTTTAATTCCCTTAGAATGCCTTTAACTGCCCTTTTCAGTCCAAAATGATAGTACTGACCGCCTTCCATTTCAGTGATAGGAGTGTTTCTTGGTGTACCCATCAAAGTTCTGGCATCCAGTGGTAACTCTGCATTCGTGAAACCGTTTAGAATTAAGAGTAACGCTGTCAGCGCAACCAAGTTTATTCGAAATTTAATTGCCCAAAACTGTAATGCACTTTTTAATGTTTTTTTTACAACTTTCAGTTGTAAAACCTATTCCATGGTCGTCTGGATAAATTTCACGATAATTTTCGCTAATGTCATATTCCATAGTATCATCAGAAGATTGGTGTTAATTTTTTTGTTGATTACATTAATTAAATATATTAAAATTATGATCATAAACATTAAATTCCCTATTTCACTTCCAAATATAACCTTTAAACATATTACTTTTCTATAATAAAAATATTTAATTTTTAAAATTTTTATTTGCTACAAATTTTTAATTAATCAATTTTGAAATATATTATACCTTTACATAATGCAAAATTTTTCTAACTTCCAAGATTTTCACACGATAAACTTGAAAATGATTTTTTGTCTCTCTAAGTAAAATAATCTATTTTAATAAAAATCAATAAACTTCTGTTTCCTTATTTATTGACTATTTTTTTTAACAAAAGTAGTATTTTATAACATGAAAAAAAAGTTTATTTTGACGTTTCTTCTTGACAATAAAAAAATTTAAATATTTGAATAAAACATAACCATGGGTTGCTTTATTAAACAAATGAAAGCTGGAAGAAAAGTCATTTTATTTCTGTCAACGAGATAAATTAATGTCGACTTTTTTCTTATCCCTTTGCTGAGAATATCGGAATTCAAACAATTTCAGCATTATGGAGAAGTAAGATAATAAAATTTAAACATTAATAATTTATTGTAATTAAAAAATATTAAAATTAAATTTTTTTTATAATAGTTTTATTTAAAAGGCTCTATTTTAAACCACCAAAATCAAATTTTTGTTACAAACTTATAATTTGCAACCATGATACAAATTTAAGTACTTTTATTTATTCAGAAATGTATGTAAATATATTTCTAAATTAAAAAATAGAAGTTGTAGGATAAAAAATTCTATTAAAAGTAATAAATAATATGTGTTTAATCAAAACAATTAATACTAAGTTAATAAAAAAGTAACAAATTTAAAACACTATAACTTAATGTTGTTTGCAGCGATGATCATTTACCGGTTTTTTTAGTTGTTGAGTTTTGTGAAGGAATAAAAGTAATTAAAACGAATTGGGGAATTTCCAACCAGAAAAATAAAATGATTGCTGCTTATTTTCCTCCATTCCGCTTCGAAAATGAATTTTTAAAAATTATTAAGAATAATGAAAGACCGACCAGTGAGTGGGCAGATAAAAATGGCGAACCGTGGGAAGTTGTAAAAGTTTTACAACAATCAAGTAAGTTTACTGTTACTTTTTCGGAAAATTTCAATAATTTAAGTTTTTAGATTGATAAAGAGTTCCACATTTCAGACACCTACGACAAAGCAAAAAAAGAAATATCACTATTATTCGAATTGTCTGAATTAGACACTGATGACAATGTCAACATGGAGCGATTGAAAAAAACTAGACACGCTCGCAACTTGGAAAAAAAAGCGAGCAGGAAACAGGAGAAGAAAAGTATTGAACAATCGAAATCTGTGCGGAAAATTTTGTTTACTCTATGCAATTCCAAAGCTACGATAAACGTGCAATCGACTGGAGGTGAGGAACAAGATGAATTTAATATAATATAATATAATATTTTCATCTATTTAAACAGAAAATAAGATAACTTAAAAAAATAAAAAGTAGCTTTTCTTCTGAAAAAAACAATAAATCTTCTTTTCCTTCGTCTCATTTAATTTTTTTTTAATTTCGTTAATTTAAACGTCTTAAAAAATCTATTTTTCTTTAAATAGATATAAAAAATAAATATGAAATTATTTCCGGCAAAATTCTAGAAGAGATTTTCAGTTTTTACTTGGAATACTTTCTGAAAATTTTTGGAAAAATTTGAAATCTCTTGTATAAATTTTCCAGAAATCTGGAAAAGTTTTTCAGTGTATTCCCGGAAAAAATTCGCAAATTTATTCCATATAGGAATGTTACAATAAAATAACCATTCTCTTTGCAGCCTCAACTAGCAACAAAATAACCGCTTTAGTACCTGGAAATGAAAGTAAGGTCCAGGTTATTGAAACCGATTCAATGGATAGTGAAACGGAAATAGATGAGATTAAGAAGCAACCTTCACAATTACAACAAACAGGTTAACTTTTGAAACTCTTTTCACTTTTCATTCTGTCCGTGTAGTTATATTCGAATAGTAAAATTGAAAAATTTTTATCAGAAGTAAAATAACATTATTATTTAAGTAACGGAAAATAGCTCTTTCTTTAAAAAAAGTAATGCTTTAATTTTTTCTTTGTTTTCTTTATTTTCTTTTTTTTAATTTTATTGATTTTAAAATTGTTAAAAAGCAATTTTCTCTACAAATAATAAAATAACATTTTTTCATTATAAAAAGGTATAATAAAAATCTATAATTAAGAAATTACGGGAAAAATCCAGAAGAGAATTCCAAAATTTTCACGGAATATTTTGTAAAAATTTCCGGTTTTTTCTCAAAAAAACTTTCAGATATTTTACACAAATCCTTCCACGCGGAAATGTCATAATACAATTACTATTTTCTTTATAGCCTCGATTAGCCAAGAAGCTATAACTGCAATACCTGAAAATAGAAGTAAGAATCAGACTGTTGAATCGGATATCGAAAGGGAATTGGAAGAGTTCGAGAAGCAGTCTACAGCATTACAACAAAAGGGTTAATTTTAAAAACTTTTTTAATTTTTCATTGTTAATATAGTAGAAACAGTATTATTTGTTTAATATATAATATAATCTTCTATTATATTAAGTTAACAAATTTCGAAAAACGACACCGACCCCGTGACCTCGACACCGTCCTTGAAAAATCTATTTTCAATTATTTTCAAATAAATCAAAATACTTTGCAAATATGCTGTTAGAAAATCTTACAAACTATTTTTATGTAACATCTTTTTTCAATTTTAACCCGAAAAAGGGTTATTTTGCAATTTTTTAAGAATTTTTTGATTTTTTCAATTTTTTATTATTATTTTTTATTATTTATTGTTGTTTTTTCAATTTTTAGTTAGTAACCTATAATATTGTGTCTAATTTTAAGTGTCATTATAATCAAATGTTTTAAACTTAATAATTTTAAAATTTCTTAATTTAAAACAAAACATCTTCTATTATATTAAGTTAACAAATTTCGAAAAACGACACCGACCCCGTGACCTCGACACCGTCCTTGAAAAATCTATTTTCAATAATTTTCAAATAAATCAAAATACTTTGCATATATGCTGTTAGAAAATCTTACAAACTTTTTTTATGTAACATCTTTTTTTAATTTTAACCCGAAAAAGGGTTATTTTTCAATTTTAACCCGAAAAAGGGTTATTTTGCAATTTTTTAAGAATTTTTTGATTTTTTCAATTTTTTATTATTATTTTTTATTATTTATTGTTGTTTTTTTAATTTTTAGTTAGTAACCTTTAATATTGTGTCTAATTTTAAGTGTCATTAAAATCAAATGTTTTTAGCTTAATAATTTTAACATTTCTTAATTTAAAACGAAACATCTTCTATTATATTAAGTTAACAAATTTCGAAAAACGACACCGACCCCGTGACCTCGACACCGTCCTTGAAAAATCTATTCTCAATTATTTTCAAATAAATCAAAATACTTTGCATATATGCTGTTAGAAAATCTTACAAACTATTTTTATGTAACATCTTTTTTCAATTTTAACCCGAAAAAGGGTTATTTTGCAATTTTTTAAGAATTTTTTGATTTTTTCAATTTTTTATTATTTATTGTTGTTTTTTCAATTTTTAGTTAGTAACCTATAATATTGTGTCTAATTTTAAGTGTCATTATAATCAAATGTTTTTAACTTAATAATTTTAACATTTCTTAATTTAAAACGAAACATCTTCTATTATATTAAGTTAACAAATTTCGAAAAACTACACCGACCCCGTGACCTCGACACCGTACTTGAAAAATCTATTTTCAATTATTTTCAAATAAATCAAAATACTTTGCATATATGCTGTTAGAAAATCTTACAAACTATTTTTATGTAACATCTTTTTTCAATTTTAACCCGAAAAAGGGTTATTTTGCAATTTTTTTAGAATTTTTTGATTTTTTCAATTTTTTATTATTATTTTTTATTATTTATTGTTGTTTTTTCAATTTTTAGTTAGTAACCTATAATATTGTGTCTAATTTTAAGTGTCATTAAAATCAAATGTTTTTAGCTTAATAATTTTAACATTTCTTAATTTAAAACGAAACATCTTCTATTATATTAAGTTAACAAATTTCGAAAAACGACACCGACCCCGTGACCTCGACACCGTCCTTGAAAAATCTATTCTCAATTATTTTCAAATAAATCAAAATACTTTGCATATATGCTGTTAGAAAATCTTACAAACTATTTTTATGTAACATCTTTTTTCAATTTTAACCCGAAAAAGGGTTATTTTGCAATTTTTTAAGAATTTTTTGATTTTTTCAATTTTTTATTATTATTTTTTATTATTTATTGTTGTTTTTTCAATTTTTAGTTAGTAACCTATAATATTGTGTCTAATTTTAAGTGTCATTAAAATCAAATGTTTTTAACTTAATAATTTTAACATTTCTTAATTTAAAACGAAACATCTTCTATTATATTAAGTTAACAAATTTCGAAAAACGACACCGACCCCGTGACCTCGACACCGTCCTTGAAAAATCTATTTTCAATTATTTTCAAATAAATCAAAATACTTTGCATATATGCTGTTAGAAAATCTTACAAACTATTTTTATGTAACATCTTTTTTCAATTTTAACCCGAAAAAGGGTTATTTTGCAATTTTTTAAGAATTTTTTGATTTTTTCAATTTTTTATTATTATTTTTTATTATTTATTGTTGTTTTTTCAATTTTTAGTTAGTAACCTATAATATTGTGTCTAATTTTAAGTGTCATTATAATCAAATGTTTTTAACTTAATAATTTTAACATTTCTTAATTTAAAACGAAACATCTTCTATTATATTAAGTTAACAAATTTCGAAAAACGACACCGACCCCGTGACCCCGACACCGTACTTGAAAAATCTATTTTCAATTATTTTCAAATAAATCAAAATACTTTGCATATATGCTGTTAGAAAATCTTACAAACTATTTTTATGTAACATCTTTTTTTAATTTTAACCCGAAAAAGGGTTATTTTTCAATTTTAACCCGAAAAAGGGTTATTTTGCAATTTTTTAAGAATTTTTTGATTTTTTCAATTTTTTATTATTATTTTTTATTATTTATTGTTGTTTTTTTAATTTTTAGTTAGTAACCTTTAATATTGTGTCTAATTTTAAGTGTCATTAAAATCAAATGTTTTTAGCTTAATAATTTTAACATTTCTTAATTTAAAACGAAACATCTTCTATTATATTAAGTTAACAAATTTCGAAAAACGACACCGACCCCGTGACCTCGACACCGTCCTTGAAAAATCTATTCTCAATTATTTTCAAATAAATCAAAATACTTTGCATATATGCTGTTAGAAAATCTTACAAACTATTTTTATGTAACATCTTTTTTCAATTTTAACCCGAAAAAGGGTTATTTTGCAATTTTTTAAGAATTTTTTGATTTTTTCAATTTTTTATTATTATTTTTTATTATTTATTGTTGTTTTTTTAATTTTTAGTTAGTAACCTTTAATATTGTGTCTAATTTTAAGTGTCATTAAAATCAAATGTTTTTAGCTTAATAATTTTAACATTTCTTAATTTAAAACGAAACATCTTCTATTATATTAAGTTAACAAATTTCGAAAAACGACACCGACCCCGTGACCTCGACACCGTCCTTGAAAAATCTATTCTCAATTATTTTCAAATAAATCAAAATACTTTGCATATATGCTGTTAGAAAATCTTACAAACTATTTTTATGTAACATCTTTTTTCAATTTTAACCCGAAAAAGGGTTATTTTGCAATTTTTTAAGAATTTTTTGATTTTTTCAATTTTTTATTATTATTTTTTATTATTTATTGTTGTTTTTTCAATTTTTAGTTAGTAACCTATAATATTGTGTCTAATTTTAAGTGTCATTAAAATCAAATGTTTTTAGCTTAATAATTTTAACATTTCTTAATTTAAAACGAAACATCTTCTATTATATTAAGTTAACAAATTTCGAAAAACGACACCGACCCCGTGACCTCGACACCGTCCTTGAAAAATCTATTCTCAATTATTTTCAAATAAATCAAAATACTTTGCATATATGCTGTTAGAAAATCTTACAAACTATTTTTATGTAACATCTTTTTTCAATTTTAACCCGAAAAAGGGTTATTTTGCAATTTTTTAAGAATTTTTTGATTTTTTCAATTTTTTATTATTATTTTTTATTATTTATTGTTGTTTTTTCAATTTTTAGTTAGTAACCTATAATATTGTGTCTAATTTTAAGTGTCATTAAAATCAAATGTTTTTAACTTAATAATTTTAACATTTCTTAATTTAAAACGAAACATCTTCTATTATATTAAGTTAACAAATTTCGAAAAACGACACCGACCCCGTGACCTCGACACCGTCCTTGAAAAATCTATTTTCAATTATTTTCAAATAAATCAAAATACTTTGCATATATGCTGTTAGAAAATCTTACAAACTATTTTTATGTAACATCTTTTTTCAATTTTAACCCGAAAAAGGGTTATTTTGCAATTTTTTAAGAATTTTTTGATTTTTTCAATTTTTTATTATTATTTTTTATTATTTATTGTTGTTTTTTCAATTTTTAGTTAGTAACCTATAATATTGTGTCTAA